AGATGGATAATTTATTATGGCTGCCTTTCCAAGAACTGTGGGTTGTAAAGATGGATTGTATTTATATTTTTTGTACTGAAGAAACATTTGGAATAAACAAAAAGAAGTACTAAATGGAAATGCAAGATACAAGTGCTAAATATTGTATATTTTTTTCTGATATTCAACTCTAGTTGAGAGTTTTGCTTATAAGTTTTATAGTAATTGTATAGAAGGCAGACATGAAGGACTGTAGGCTTTGGTTCCTTAAGCAGTGAGTTTTAAATGTGATTGTTGCAATCAGGGCTTAAATTGTAACTTTCCTGACAGAATGGTGTCTCACTACTATGGCAATGGAGATGTTTGTGACTTAACTGACAAACCTCGACAAGTGACAGTGAAATTGAAGTGAGTTACACTTAAAACAAATGCTGTTTGTACTGACTGACTGATTGAACTATATGTTTCCTAAGGAAAGGGCTCTTGGACCCTTAAAATGCCCTTGTTTTCCTTTACTAATTATTGGGCACAATCCAGATTTATCTCTTAAAAATAATTCAAGAATTACCTGTAAGGCAAGGACTAAGTTGTTTAAAAAAAAAATAGCCATTGCACTGACATTTTCCTGCCAGGTATTGCTTTGTCTGCTACTTTAGGTATAATCACAAAAGTATTTCAAGAGCATGTACTTTTTGGGGGTTGTGATCCAGTTTTCCAGAATCTACTATGTGATTGTGGAAACCATTGATTTTCATCAGTACACTTTGAATGTAATGGAGAAAATCTGAATTTCAGAAAAGTAGACTTTGACCCAAACAAGCAGTCCGGCTAATATTCACTGCTTCCCCTAGCAAGTAGGTATGCTCTGAGTATGCGTTGTGTGAGTTCCAGGTGAATCGGCCATCACTGATAGTATTTGCAGTGTTGAGAGAGATTGGCAGCACGCTCCCAGACTCAATTAAAAGTGAACACTTCTTTTTCAAATTAACCAGTTATCCAGTATTTTCATTGAAATCCAGCACCTCTACAGATAACTGTTAGTAAGATAGATACTATACAAACTCCATCATTTAACAAACATTGTACATATGTTGCTGAGAAATAGAAGATTCACCAGAAAATATTATCAAAAAGCATAATTCTTTGCTAGTATTGCAGCACGACTTCCATCAACATTAGAGATTATTCATACCAACTGAAAATCTTGGGGCTCAGAGAAGCCTGTTAACCATTTTCTTAATCTGCATTGTCTGCTAACAATTTATTCTGTCTTAAGGTGCAAAGAATCTGATTCTCCTCATGCAGTAACTGTATATATGCTGGAGCCTCATTCCTGTCAGTATATTCTTGGGGTATGTTTGAGACCTTGATCTAAACCATGTTGACTTCTGGGAGAAAAGTCTCCCATGAAAAATGCATTTCACTTAGGAAAATGTGAAAGTTCTGGTACTAAACTTGTAATTTTTCATTATTATATACTAAACTTTCTTAAGAACCCAGTGCCTTCTGTAATATGACATTCACAGTGCATTTTTCTAGAGCACTGGGAATGGAGTAAGTAACAAGAACGTGGCACAGGTAACAGGTGTGGACTATGACACTTTTCCATAAGCTTTTATTTATTGCTAATGGTCTTTATGTGATATTAAGCACATTCCAAATTGGATGGAGCGTTCAGGTCTGTTTAAGTCATATTTAATATCAGAGCTCGTGACAAAAATGTTGATAGACAAAGTTTTTATTAAAGAATACTGCAGTTAGACCACACACACCCCAAAATTAAAGATAGCATTAGTTTAAGGTGTATTATTTTTTTTTTGGAAAAATACATTTTACCTCAAATAATGTCAGGCCTAGCCCAAAGAACTCATGGAGACCATGCAGGTTCAATCAGCAAG